CTCGTAAAGCGGTTTCAGTAATGAGGGATTTTACAAGTGGTATGTAAGAGACAGAAAAAAGAAAGAAACAAAGAAAGAAAGATGATAAGCGTTTCTTTATCTCAAAAAAGGTTTTAGGAATGAAGGATTTTATAAGTGGCAAGTAGGCAACTTCTTATTTACCACTACATTTTTAGTGTTTTTTACAAGACCGCGCCAAGGAAAAAAAGTTGACGCCAGCTTTTGCCACATCGTTTTATGTTGAGCCATCAAATAAAATTGTTACTATTTTTACGTGTAGATATTTTGATATAAGTATATAGTAATAAACGTAATGTATACACTAAATGTACACGCACACACACAAACACACACTTATAATTATATTGTGTAAAATTTGCTATTGACCACTCTTCCCGAAATTTACAGGAGATGAGATCACAATACCGGTGTTATAAACTGTATGGACATAGAAATCAACAATCCATGGTGACTGGAAGTTTCACACGTCAAGAAATCTTCAAAGCATTATATTTATAATATTTGTCACGTTTCTAATAAGATCTAAAAATGTAACATTACATTATCTATCTATCTATCTATCTATCTATCTATCTATCTATCTATCTATCTATCTATCTCAGCTTCTTCATTATCTATCTCAGCCGCTTCATTATCTATCTATCTATCTATCTATCTATCTATCTATCTATCTATCTATCTATCTATTCATTATTATTGGTGCAAAAAATGACGTAATAATGTCGTTTTTTGACGTTAAAAATACGTCAAAACGACATTATTGCGTCATTATTTTGCACCAGCCTAATTATCTATCTATCTATCTATCTATCTATCTATCTATCTATCTATCTATCTATATGCATGTATGTATATTTGAGCATCATATCTTCATTCAAACAGGTTTCATTGAATAATAGACATATTGCGTCTACTTAAATATATATATATATATATATATATATATATATATATATATATTATTGTGTCAGAAGTAATTTAAGGTAGCAATACTTATTCGTGATTTCTAACTTGTGAGAACTCGGAAAGGAACGATTGTATTAATTAGCACAGAAGCTATATTTTATGATTTACTAAACGCTCATTTTTATATGTTACCTAAATTTTCAAATTTAGTTTTGCCATTTTTAGAACGCCCAGTCTGGTAAGTTAACTACAACCCAAATATTTATTTGATGTGTCTGTTGTTTTATGTATACATACGTACATAAAGTAAAAAAGCTATTTGTGTAAATGCAACATCTAAATAATAAGCACGTCATTGAATTATATTTTTTATATATAGGTGGGATTACCAATATGTCTCTAATATATATATATATATATATATATATATATATATATATATATATATATATACATATATATATATATATATATATATATATATATATATATATATACGAGCTGAAGTACCTGTTTACACTGGGTCAAGGATCAAAACTTACAGCGCAGCTGGTTATAATGACAGTAGACTGATTCGTTAGTACTGTGTTAATTTGATAAGACATTGTTAGTGATGTTATTCGAATATATATATATATATATATATATATATATATATATATATATATATATATATGTTTATATATATATATGTATGTATGTTTATATGTATGTTTTTATATATAAGTATAATGTATATATATGTATGTATATGTGTGTATATATAAGTGCATATATATTTATGTATATATATATATATATATATGTATATATAAACGTGTGTATATGTCTATATATTTTATTACTATTATTATTTTTGTTGGATAATTGTACTTGAGTAGACGCTCAAAACAGTATATATATTTAATTTCGTATAGCGGCCTGAATATTCAAGAAATCCTACAGTAAATATAAAGTTTAAGTTATAAAATCTGTCCGATTAGTAAATAAAAATACATCCCTGTCATACGCATACGTATATATATATATATATATATATATATATATATATATATATATATATATATATATATATATATATATATATATATATATATATATAAATAGTTGATAAATAGCTACCCAGCATTTCTTATAGCACAAATGAAAGAAATTAAATTTTTATATGAAATATCTTTCTTACAATATTGTTATTGCCATTATTCATATAAATATTAATTTTATTATTTTCAGTAACACCGTTCATGTACACCAGCTGCATAATAGCAATTAGTAGCGTAAAAAAAAAACATGTAAATTATTACCCTATAATAATGGTAATACTTCAATTAATGAATCTAACATAAATTATCAAGATATTTTTGAAAAGGCTTCTTGGTCGATTGAGAATTTTTCAGTAGTTTCCACTTGCAAACTAGTCGGTAGAGTGATTTTCCAAGCGTAGCTTAGATGTGTCCCAAAATCGAAAGTATGAGGCTCCCAGTGAGGTTCGAATTCACTACTCAGTCATAATTGTTCTAGCAAGACAAGCTTGCTAACCATTACACCGCCTCGAGGTGCCTAAACTTGTCGCTATATATAGCCTGTCTTTTTAGAGAGCAATACGAAAACTACCATATTTGACGGCATCAAAAAGCACACCCTGACAACATTTAATAATGCTGTTCGGTTGGTAGTTTACAAAGCTTCGCTGAAGATTAGCCTACAAGATATCTCATATTCACATATTAGTCCACGAAGTTATTTGTGGCATTAAAAAGATGAAAGGGGTACCTTACGGGCTATGAAATATCGTAAATGTTTTTTTTTTCCGTAACTTGTCATTCGAGCAATGTAAAAAATATAACTGAATGTGATTGTTACGTCAGGCCTACACAATTAAAGAATGTGAAGGGAGACATTTGATTAAAGAAAATTAGTCGCGTAAAGAATTTTTTTAATTATGAGTTAGAAACGGGTATATAGGGAGAGGGATGATGAGAAATTTTTATCTTTTTTTATGAAGAGTTAAAAGGATGAAGTAACCAAAAAGACAGTGAAATATTGGTGGAATAAAATCGAACTTCTGCAAAAGCGAATTTTTTCGCATGATAACACCAGTTGGGTTTATTCTGACGAATTCAAAAAAATGACTATTTTGAAAATCTCGCAGTCAAGTCTGGGTCACGGCCCACATGCGGACCGCAGTGCGTATTTTGTACAAGTCTGCATTTCATTACGTTATTAAAAAAAAAAAACAACAAAAAACAAAAAAAAAAAAAAAAAAAGCAAACAAACAAACGAAGTTAATGGCGACGACAAGGAATAACCAACAGACAAAAGTTAAAGATATATAAAAATCATATCCGTTAGAATTTCGGACAATTCTTCCAGCATTAGTGACGTAGTTTTTTAAGCATCACATGTAAAATACAGATATATAATTTAATTCTTAATTTTCTTGTTATATATATTGTCTTGGGAATTTTTTTGTTTTTATACGCTAAATAAAAATGAAAAATAAGAAAGCTTTTATTTTAAAAAATCGATTTAAAATCCACTAATAAAAATGAATTTGTACATTTTAAAAATTCAGTCCTGGGTATGACGATAAACTACATCTGGCAGCAAGGCTGAGATCGGCAGATTGGAAGTTTTGAGGACAGTCGAATAACCTCTTAATTGCTTCTCTTCCCAGGTCCACCCTGACCCGGGGTGGTAGCACCTGTTAGGGTCTCAAGTATGGGAAAATAGAGAACTCCCAAATAAAAACAAAACACGATGAAAGTATAAAAATACATTTTTATAGTAAAACTACCAGCAATATATTTTTATAGGAAAAAATTACCAACAGTACATAAAATATATTTAGTTGAAGCCATAAAATTGAGTTCAAAATATTTAAATTTCGGCTTTAAATAACCCATATAGGTTGATAACAAAATCAACTGGTCAACATATCAAAAATTAAAATATGCAAAAATAGGTTTTATTTTATTTTCAATCATCTTTTAAAACAACTTATAATCAATCTGACTCCTCTTCAACTGTTTTTTTCTTTCACATACCAAGCAATACACAAGATGGTTACTGTGATCTTTGTACACATTTCTACAGAAATTATTTACACTGTCTTTATAGTCATATGTTTGCAATTTACATAAATGTCATTACTAAAACCGGCAACTTATAGTTACTGGACAGAAATATTCAGAAAGTGATTTGATTGAGAGCTCACTTGCTAGATATTAGAGAAAAAACAGAAATATCAAAATAATAAAGAACAAAAGTAATCCAGTTAGTGGGAAATTAACATCCGATTAGTACCCCGTTAGTATCATGGGGGTGTTTGAAAACCCAACACAATTCTTTTTTCTTAATATTTAGCAAGTGGTAAGTTAAGATTTCATAATTAGTCAAGTTGCTTTCTGAACACCTCTATCAAGTAATTACAAGGAGTTTCTGGTTCAAATATTTTTACGAATTACAAGCAGTTTTATTTATTCAGTGGAAATTAAATAAGACCTATTTTGTATATTTGAAATTTTGAAACTTATAAATTCTTTTTTTTTAAAATGTTTTATTTTGAACGAATTAAAAAATTCGTTCAAAATAAAACATTTTTATATGTATCCTATAAAATATTTCTTTATATGTATCCTATAAAACATTTCTTTATATTTATCCTATAATCACCAAAAAGAACACCCAAGGCAATATATAAAAAGAAAATTAAAAACTAAATGATATAACTATTAATATTTTAAAGGTGGCGTTTGAAAGCCTATTATAAAGTTTATTCTGTGGAACAATAACTTCGAAGTCAGGGTTCAAGTCTCAGAGGAGTTAGTGACATTCGTGCTAGCACAGTCATAGCCGGTCCCCAAGGGTTGCGTCCTATCCAGTCTCACTCACATTGCTTTGGTCAATCCGTGGTATGATTTTGATATACTTTCCAAATGTGCCGCACACTGTGATCCCCACCTCCAGACCGATAACATCAAAATGTCTCCTTCCTGACAAATCGACCATAGTGAAATTCGAACCCGTGTCTTATGGTCAGAAACCGAACGTTCTAACCACTCGGCCAAAAA